TTCAGCGGGCAGGACTGGCCTAGGGGTATTTTAATTGGTTTTAACAAAATTTTAGTAGAAGCGGCCAATTCAAATATTTATTTTTAATCATTTTTAAATTTTGTATGGTATTGTACTATTGTTTTTAAACTGGCTGTAAGCCGCCCTGAGTCCTCCGGGAGAAGGGCGGGGTATAAATTTAATAAAATGAAAATGAAAATGAAATGAAATTGTTTTATTTTCAAAAATTGTGATTATAATAAAGTTCTAAAGGAATAATTTCTTCTTTTTTAGCTTCTTCCTGCAAAGAAGCAGTATTGGTCAAGTAAGGAAATACTAATTTTGTTTATTTATGTGAGCGATTATGTAATGCATAGGATCCATTCAATTAAATGATTTTTTTCTTTTTCCTTTCATAATAAACATACACATACACAGATCTTGTGTGATTAATAGGACGATTGTATACATATCTATAAAAAGGTGAACCCCTTGTGGGAACTTATTTATAAGTAAATATATGTTGCAGCCTAAACCTATATACTTGTGTGCCCCACCTTTAATACAAATAAATAGATTTCTTAGGTAGAAGCGCATGTAATTCTTTACAAATGATTAGTTCTGATTAGTTCACTTAGAAGATCTAGTCATGTGCACTTGCAAACAAGAGTGTTCTTCTGAACAAAACTTAAAACAATTTTTTGTTCCCTGTTGTGTGAGTTTGTATGCCCTCCTTATCCATTGCTGGACATTTTCTGGTATGCCCTAAATTACACATGTCTGTGTTTTTAAAAGGAATGCCTCAGGACTTTCCCTAACATTTTCCCATTAATATTTATTAAAGCATCTTTATTCATATCTCTCTGAATGTCATAATCTGTCTAAAATTACATCTCTCCAAAAATCCTTAGTTTGGAATTTGTAACATGCAATACAATTTTGTGCCCCATTTGTTGAAAGGCAGAGGTGTGTTTTTTAAAAAATATATTTATATTCTCATCTTTCAGGATAAAATTATAAATCTGTTTATGGCAGTCACAGAAAAATAACTCATCTGCTTATTATTTTTAAACAGAATCGAGCACAGTGTGCTACAGAACTGCTGCAAGAGTTGAATAATGATGTCTGTGGAAATTTTGTGGAAGAGGTTTGCATTAAACATTTTTACAATAATTACATATGTGCTAACATGTCACAAAAGTATGTCAGCTATTACTACCATAATATAACATCAGATCTTGCTCTTGTGTAGGCTCAAAGCAAAATAGTATCTTTTTTCTTGCTTCAAGCAACAAATTCTTTTACAGATGCATATGATTTCATATCCTAAGCAACATTAATTCATTCCTACAGTGGTTACTATATTGATACAAATCCATCATATTGATTCTAATGTATTTAATAATAGCCAAGCTAGAATAGTCTCGATCAAGGACACTTTTATCTGATCAATGTCGGTGAGGTATGTCAAGTGTCCGGGTTGATGGACAGAACAGAACTGAAAACATTTGAGTTTAGATTATTGTGCCAATTAAAAATAGGCTTGCAGTTCATGAAGAACTGCACTGAGATAGGAAATGAAGTTTTAATTCTGGATCTTTCTATATTTATTGCTTTATGCTGCAATACAGATGAGTGTTTTCTATGTTTTTTCAAGAACCCAGATAAACTTCTAGACAACGATCCTTCTTTTTTTTGTCGGTTTAATGTAGTGATTGCAACTCAACTCCCAGAAAGGTACGCTGCAATGAAATTGATGTTATTGTCTTTATATGTGTGTGTGTGTTTTATTTTACATTTGTTTTGCAAAAATGGAAATTATATATTTTTATTTTGAGCATATAATATCCATAGCTGGTTATTTTTCTTTATCCTTTACTTGCTACATCTCTGCCTCAATTCAAACACGGTTTATTAATTAAGCCACAGTGTCTGAGTTCGCCTATTACACTAACTCAAAGAAATAATATTTGATTTAATGTGATGTGTGGTCTCATTGTCCATCCATGTCTTGTCATTCCCATGTACCATTGGCTTTAAAATTGTGTGAGTGTGGATCAGACCGGCTTCTTTTTGATCTTCACAATACGTGAAGGTCAAAAATCAAAGTTGTTCTATCAAAAAAAACCTGGGAATTTTGCATGTATTTGCTTGAACACAAGTACAGATATAACATGCCTTCTTTCAAAGAATTGTTATTTTATATGTAATATAAAATTATAAATTGTTTAAATAAATTTAAAAATACTAGAAGGTTGCAAGCTAAAAGGTCTCAGTTATAAGATATTGTTGCTTGTTCAAGATCTTGAAATATGAAGAGCTATCTATAGATGCTGTATATATAGAATAAATATTTTCAGCTAGATTCTAGTGTGCATTTTCTGTCCATTGTTCACTGTTCATTTGCCTTATATCTTCTCTTTTTCAGTACGCTGCTTA